TAGGTCGAATTTTGTAATTAGCAAAGTTAACAATTTTCAATTTTGTAATTGGCAAATTCTTTAGTAATAATCACGTTCTAGTTAAATTGTATTAAGAGTTTATCCACTTGTAATCAAAGTCAAAATAAAAATTATTGAGTCCTAATTAAAGTCAAAAGAATTGAAATTGACAATATAGGTCTTAAAAGAGTACAAAATATCCGAAGTGATCATTGAAATGAAATTAGAAATCAAAGAAGTGTAAAAGTGTTGCACAAATCATGTTCCAAATTCTCACCAACAAATTACAACACATTTTTTACATAGAAAATATTCTCAGCATAGGTTGGCACAATCAAAGTTCAAAATTAGTTCAAAGGTTTTGAAATTCTCTGTTTCATGAGCAACAATCATGTAGCAAGTTATTTTCTTTATTTAAACTTAAGTCAAATTCTTTTTATTTTTTCGATAGAAAATCATTTTGACACAAAATTGTGTCCATTATGAAGGTCATCTAATACAAATCCCCACCAATCAACCATCCATGTTGATTAGTGTATCTGCATTTTCTCCAATTAATTTGAAGAATCTTACTCGGGTGAAACATTATTTTTCTTTACACTATCAATTTTAAACCATTGTTTTGTATTATCTTTTGTTCATGGTTTCTTAGCAATTATAAATGGCTTTCAAACACCAATAGTTGGAAAAAAAAAAAATTTATGGAAAACAAAGCATGTGAAACAGCTAAAGATGGAAAAAAAATCATAATTTTTCATGGAAAATAAAGCCGATCAAACACCAAAAGATGAAAAATCTCAACATTTTCTAGGTAGAAAATTATATCAATCAAACGCAACTAATTGACATTTACTGGAAAAACATATTCTAGACAATTATTTTCCTTGGAATTCGTTTTCTTTCCACCTAATTTCCATCTTACAGTCCAACGGACCCTAAAAGAAAAAAGAACTAGGTGATGAAAAGGCAAAACAAATGGTGAAATTCAATTTAAAATCGACTCTAAACAATCCAACGTGAATTCATAAGCAACAAATGTCACAGCACCAGCAGGTGCAGCTTCGACAATTGAGGGGACAATGCCTATATAAAGTCCAGCCAAACCTTCAGTGAGCAGANTCTTTGGTAAAGAAGTATAACAAACATTTGCCAAAACTGAGGAATAATACACCGAAATCGGGTAGATACGAGGAAAGGCTTGCTCCTCCTCGAACCTTAATGTGTCGCAGTTATGCCAGGTTGTCCTCCAGCATCAGGGGAAGGGTGATGGCCATGATGACCCTATGGATATCCCCAAAATAGTCGAGCGCTTCAACATTGTGGTTGCCAGGTTCAAAGGGTGCTTCCGTTTGTAGCACTGCCTCCCGAGTCCCGAGGAAGAGTAGTAAAACGAACAAGCATCAACTATGACCATAGCATTTCATAGTCGAGTTTGATTGGCTAGTTATAGTCTTTTATACGAGGAATAGATCTTTTTTAAAATGGAAATGCGAGGAATATAGTAAAAAAATGACCAATCATGACGTTGAGTTCATAGTCAAGATCAATTTGCTTGTATGGTCTTTAGTAGGGGGATAGATATTCTAGAAACATGAAAAGTCGTACGTGATGTTTGCCCTTCTTTTTGTTTGACACTATTATTGTTAGCAATGTATACAAAGTTGGCCTCTTAGTCAAATTTTAATTCAAACATTTTCATGTGAGCTGACACACATACTTGATAAGTTGTACTAGTGGCGTCAAATTGTCTTCCAGGACGGGAGAAGCACAGTTCAAACCCTGTGTTAGGTCGAATTTTGTAATTAGCAAAGTTAACAATTTTCAAATTTGTAATTGGCAAATTCTTTAGTAAAAATCACGTTCTAGTTAAATTGTATTAAGAGTTTATCCACTTGTAATCAAAGTCAAAATAAAAATTATTGAGTCCTAATTAAAGTCAAAAGAATTGAAATTGACAATATAGGTCTTAAAAGAGTACAAAATATCCGAAGTGATCATTGAAATGAAATTAGAAATCAAAGAAGTGTAAAAGTGTTGCACAAATCATGTTCCAAATTCTCACCAACAAATTACAACACATTTTTTACATAGAAAATATTCTCAGCATAGGTTGGCACAATCAAAGTTCAAAATTAGTTCAAAGGTTTTGAAATTCTCTGTTTCATGAGCAACAATCATGTAGCAAGTTATTTTCTTTATTTAAACTTAAGTCAAATTCTTTTTATTTTTTCGATAGAAAATCATTTTGACACAAAATTGTGTCCATTATGAAGGTCATCTAATACAAATCCCCACCAATCAACCATCCATGTTGATTAGTGTATCTGCATTTTCTCCAATTAATTTGAAGAATCTTACTCGGGTGAAACATTATTTTTCTTTACACTATCAATTTTAAACCATTGTTTTGTATTATCTTTTGTTCATGGTTTCTTAGCAATTATAAATGGCTTTCAAACACCAATAGTTGGAAAAAAAAAAAATTTATGGAAAACAAAGCATGTGAAACAGCTAAAGATGGAAAAAAAATCATAATTTTTCATGGAAAATAAAGCCGATCAAACACCAAAAGATGAAAAATCTCAACATTTTCTAGGTAGAAAATTATATCAATCAAACGCAACTAATTGACATTTACTGGAAAAACATATTCTAGACAATTATTTTCCTTGGAATTCGTTTTCTTTCCACCTAATTTCCATCTTACAGTCCAACGGACCCTAAAAGAAAAAAGAACTAGGTGATGAAAAGGCAAAACAAATGGTGAAATTCAATTTAAAATCGACTCTAAACAATCCAACGTGAATTCATAAGCAACAAATGTCACAGCACCAGCAGGTGCAGCTTCGACAATTGAGGGGACAATGCCTATATAAAGTCCAGCCAAACCTTCAGTGAGCAGAATTTGTCGGAGGGCGTCCTCCATATTTTTGCATACTTGATGCTCTACCCAAGCTCCATATCTAGGATCCTTTTGTAGACCTTCGATCTGCAGAATGAATTACTTGATAAGCTACATGCTAGTGTAGATTTCTCTTTAATAACAGATAACTGAGACGGAGACCCCAAAAGTTAATGAAGTTCAGTCGTATAGTTCAAGTGGTAAAGATTATTTTATATGATTCAATGGGAAAAAGGAACTCATTAAGCCACATTCGACATAGATGAAGTTAAATTAAGATATATCCTCGATCCTCTCCTAAAAATATAACCTGAGAATTGTATCATACACAATACGAATGTGTAATCTTGATTGTTTTCCTCTGCCCCATCACAAGAAGTTTAAGATCATGGTACTATTTACAGAGGGCGGAGATTGCAATAAGATTACTATTTACTTTCTTCTCATTCCCTCCTCTCTTTATTTATAGAGGACAGAGATTGAAATAGGCTCCAAGAGACTATATAATCACTTTTATATTGTGCGGTGAAACATTTAAAGTTATTGTGCGGTGAAAAATTAAGAAATAGTAATAACAAGTGGCTGCAGTTAAAACAAAGCAAATATAATAGGCCTCTTAAGCTATATGATATGGATTTAAAAACGAACTCTGAAAAAAAAATAGGAAGTATGCTTCAACAAAATGAAATTCATTTGTTCCTTGTCTTAGGAAAAATAAGAAATCATGGTTGACCTCAGGCTCTAGAATGCATTCAATGGTAAAAAAATCCTATCTTTTCAACTAGCTTCAGACCAATTACGAGTTAAAACACATCAACATCTGAAATCAATAAATTAAACCCTATATACAATAGAAAACGAATGTGAGGCTCCAAATACCAAATAAATCTACATACACTTGAAATAAATCCAAATTCGAAAAAATTGTAATCCAAATCACATATAAATATACGCATAGAAGCAAAAGGATTTTACCTAGGGGTCACTGGAACCTTCTTCGAGTAGGGGGCGGTAGTGGAGGTGAAATAGATGAATTTGAACAGACCCCATCTACAAAAATTACAATGCAGAGAACTTGCAGTAAGGAGAATACTTTTAAATCCACTAGTTCCTAAATAGAAACGAGAAGAAAAATAATTATTTACATTGCTCAACTCAACCAATTAACCATTTCATCCGGGTGTACGGGTCACACCCAGCGTCCACCGAGCCAATCCCTGTGAACTCGGAGGGCCATAATCCTACAAGGGAACTCGTCTGGCGGGTTTTCAAAAGTAACGCCGAATTCTGAACCTCCTTCAACCTTCTTCACAACACCTATTCACCTATCCCTGTAGTAGATATCAGCGCTACGTTCACTTAAAACCCTCCACAATCCTCGACGGTTGTGGCCGCCGGCCTCACAGACTTCAAATCAACAAACTCTCGCAGAAAATCAGACCCATTATTATCCACCAGTAGAAACTGGTATTTCACATACACTAGTATATCGCAAGCATACCCAAGAAGAAGGACGAAGGAGATGATGGTTTTGAATTTGATAGAAAGGAAGGAGACGAGATTTTCCTTTGGCAATTGAATTGGTACTTTGGTTCAAGGGTATTTTGGGCAGTTCATATTTACTAGATTAAAATATTTATTTTAATTTTCTAATTTTGATCAAATACTGTTTTCATAAACAAACTTGGAAAAATCCATTTGTACAATCATTAAGGGATTGTAAAATTTACAACCTCTCACATTAGTGTGGAGCGGCCCACACTCACATCCACAATAATGTGAGAGGTTGTAAATTGTAGCCCCACACTAATGTGAGTGATCGTAAATTTTACAATCCATTAATGATTGTACACCTAACATCACTCAACAAACTTTGCGCGCAGTGTATTTCACCTAATTCCCACTTAATTATTCATACATAAATAATGTAAAAGCAACTACAACATTAGAGTAGAAAGAACATGCGTACCTGACTCATCCAACAAATCGGAAATATCAAGTTTTGGTGCACTTAGTGGCCGTGGACCCAATTTTGTTATCATGGGGCAATTTTCAACGACCAAGTCCTTCATCAAAGGGAACACGCGTTCTTTGTTCAGATAGCAATCCATTTGCATACTTGGAAGATTCTTGAGTAGTAAATGATTCCAATTATTTTCCATGGATCTAAATAGTTATGTTCAGCTGTTAGATCTAGACACGACATGAATAGTGGTGTTAAAATGTACCATTTTACAATTTTTATTTGCAGTCTTAAAACTTGAAAAATATACAAAACTGTACAAATAATCAACGATGTTGTATTCTAATGCTATTTGGCATGAATTTCCGGGGGTTGGGACCATCCGTTCGGCTTAGAATATGTTAAATCTACTAATGTTATATGACTTGCCTATTTATGTGACTTGATCATATCAATATTCTTAAATATAAGGAAATTTGTTAAGAATACTTTATAACTCGTTTGATTCTAACATAATTAATTTAATTAACTGTACTTAACCATTGGAAAAGCCTCTCACGGAGAAGAAAAAAGAAAAGAGGGCAATAGCTGACTAAACTTCGGGCACTAGTTAAAAAAACAATTATAATACAAACTGTAAGTGAAGGGTGGCTTCAAACAAGAAGAGGCCGGTAAATTATTCAATCAAATAATAACGAGTATTCGAGAAATAAATGGGCCATTTCTTTGAAAAATTGTGCAAATATACAAATGAAAATTTTTGTCTCATTTACACCCGGGCACAAATTACAAATCAAACTAAAAACAAAGAGAAATAATAAAAATAAGCGTAATTCTCAGGAAATTAAAAAAGTATCAGCCAAAATGATGGAATGTAGCCAAAATTTTACTTGCTTGCGAGCTTCGCCTTCGAGTTTCACTCAGAATCCCATTTTCACTTAAAAAGAGATGGTATTATTTATCCAAATTAGAATCGATCTATAAAAAACAGCGCAAGTCAATCACATTTTGACCCTTGAATGTCCGCTAACAGCCACAAACTCCTCCTTACACATTACATTGAAATGGTAACATTAGATAGGAATTTCTAGCTCTGTATTCGGATTTTCATAATCTTGTTCTCTAAGTAAAAATTTCTACCTTCGACCAATCACAATTTCAACTGTTGTCACATTGCTAAAGGGATTTATCATGTATGAATTTATTCCTCCTTCCCTAAGCTTGAGAAACAGTCCACATCAATTTTGGTATGACCTGACCGTGCCAATGGGCTGCGATAGGTCATGATAATTAGTTGTGTCAAGTCTAGATACTACAACATTGTTAAAGGATCGAACTAGGTTATGTGCCTCGAAACTTGGTCGTGACAAGTAAGTTTACATATAATATTATAATTTAAGATAGCACCAACACATGTAACAATCATAAGTTACGAATAAACTAACAAAAAGCCAATAGATATATTGCAGCCCTGTGCTTATACTTTCATCTTAAATTCTTCAACAAGTAATAATATAGATTGAAAGATCATATGAATAATTTACTAAGAATTGCCAGTTTAAGCAGCTGCCACAGGACGTTTTTTCTTCTCTTCTAGCTTGCTTGCATGTGCAGTAAGCAATTCATGTTGTAATAAGAGACATAAGTTTTGAATAAGCAAAGGAAATAAATAGCAATTAATTATAAGCTAACTCATGGAATTATGATCAGTTAATAACAAACTGTTTCGAGGTAAACAAACCTCTACTAATTTGAATTTACTTATGTAATTCAAGTAACCAACCGTAGGGATCTAGGTTCACCTCGACCATGTAAGGCAGTCCAAACACAAATCTTAAAAAGAAGAAAAAGTGTGTCGGAGTCCAAGTAATTTTAAGAGTGCTCAGACAAAAAAGATCGTTGCCGAGATAAGGGTTGCTCTTTGCCTACCGAAATATGGTCCTTTTACAACATTTTAGGTCGATTAGATGAATCTTTTTCACATAGGGTCCTTTGACAACATTTTAGGTCAATTACATGAATCCTTTTATGAAAACATTTCATCTAATTTAAGAAAGTGCATAAACCATATATAGATAAGATGATATTTAAATAAATATATGTATTTCTTCCGTAAAGGCTTTATCTTTAGATGAGACGATTAAAATGCTATTAGAATCTCAAAAGTACAAATGAGCATTTTTATTTGTCTAGGATCAAAACGAAGATTAATGATCTCAAACGAGCAACCTGATAAGGATATGTGTAGACATGCATGTACTCTTCAGAAGTAAACTCGTGTTTGTGAACTCCTTCCAGATTATCAATGAATTTGTTTATGGCTTCCTGCAGAAAGGGCCAAGATTAAATCGCATATCATACATGCGCTACTTGCCATTTTTATTTGCTTCAACGCTGCGACAGTTTGAAAAGAAAGAAAGTTGTTGGTCTCTCGAGGAGACTTTTGCACTAGCTTCTTGAAAAGATGTTTGTAGGTCATTTAACAAGTACGGTTTTTTTTTTAATTTAAAAATGATAATTGCACCGTTGGTCCTTTATCTGCTTTCTAACTAACAAGTTGGCCCATGATCAGAAATAAAGTAAAGCAATGCACATGGTGACGAGAAGTGGTGTTTGATACAGCCCTTGTTTGAGCCCCATTTTTTCATCGAAATACATTCTTAAACATTGATTTGACTCTATTACAATTACACATTTTTTAATAAAATAATATTACGCGTAAACCTAAGTGTGTGTTTGAGTCACATTATTTTGGAATAGTAGATTGATGGAGAATGTGTGGTTGAAAAAGAACGAAAAGTTATTGATGTAATGTAAAATATTATTTTATTGAAGAATATGGTTGAAATGAGTAGAAGAATGAGAATGAGAATTTTAATGTGTTCCTCGTTCTAAAAATCGTAAAACTTAATTAAATAGTAAGACTAAGTGCTTGTTTGGGAGGGATTTTTGGGGGAAGAATTGATTTTGAATAGTGATATGATGGGAAATGTGTGGTTGAAAAAAAAAATTATTGATATGATGAAAAATATTATTTTATTGAAAAATGTGTGGTTGAAATTGAGTAGAAGAATGAGAATAAAATTTTAATGTGGCTCAAACATTGGCTAAAATTTTTCCATATTTTTTAATCAAAGGTTCTTCATCATAACACTATTGCAAAATGTATTTTTTTGCAAAAAAAAATTAAAATGGGGTGGGACCCATTTTAAAAGAAAAGGACGAGACCCAGAATAAAAAAGGAGTAAATTAATCTCCAATATTTCAAAACAAATACACAATCAATCCTCATTACAATTTTTTTTCAAATTTTCATTGAATTGTCATGAGATTCTCATATGTCTATTAAGTTACAAAACTATACTTCATTTTTCAATGGTCTGGTATTTGTAAAATTTAAAGTGAAAACATTTTCCATGAAGGCCACGTGACAATTTAATTAGCTTCTTGAAAAGATGTTTGTAGGCCATTTAAGAAGTACGGTTTTTTTTTAATTTAAAAATGATAATTGCACCGTTTGTCCTTTATCTGTTTTCCGACTAACAAGTTGGCCCATGATCAGAAATAAAGTAAAGCAATGCACATGGTGCTGACGAGAAGTGGTGTTTGATACAGCCCTTGTTTGAGCGCCATTTTTTCATCGAAATACATTCTTAAACATTGATTTGACTCTATTACAATTACACATTTTTTAATAAAATAATATTTCGCGTAAACCTAAGTGTATGTTTGAGTCACATTATTTTGGAATAGTAGATTGATGGAGAATGTGTGGTTGAAAAAAAATTATTCATATGATGAAAAATATTATTTTATTGAAAAATGTGTGGTTGAAATTGAGTAGAAGAATGAGAATAAAATTTTAATGTGGCTCAAACATGGGCTAAAACTTTTCCATATTTTTTAATCAAATGTTCTTCATCATAATACTATTGCAAAATGTATTTTTTTGCAAAAAAAAAATAAAAAATGGGGTCAAACTAATAGACAATTCTCAATGAATTTAATGAACTGTTTTAATCCCTTATTCTACAAGGAGAATAATAGTATTAAGGCGATCTTTTCGTAGTATAAGAGGATCGGTAAAATACAAAATTTTCAATCCCAACATAAAATGGAGGCAAATTTTCAACATTTTTCATATTTCTAGATGGAGGAGGAATATATTAAAAGAAAAGGACGAGACCCAGAATAAAAAAGGAGTAAATTAATCTCCCATATTTCAAAACAAATACACAATCAATCCTCATTACAATTTTTTTTTCAAATTTTCATTGAATTGTCATGAGATTCTCATATGTCTATAAGTTACAAAACTATACTTCATTTTTCAATGGTCTGGTATTTGTAAAATTTAAAGTGAAAAACATTTTTCATGAAGGCCACGTGACAATTTAATAAATTTAGAGACTTTTTTTCATTGAGAATTAATTATGCAGTTATAATTAAAGATTGAGGACAAACTCGCTCTTTATAAGAATGAAGATTAATTTGCTACTCTAACAACAAATTGAGGACCAACACTGAAAATTTTCCTACTTAACAGGGCCTTCTTGACTGGTCAATGTTTGCAACAGGCCCCTTCTCTTAAATTTGAATAAATAAAAATTTAAGTTTGGGACTCGCTTTTATACAAATTTTTTTATAAAATTTTTATTAAGATGGAAGCTTTTTTATTTAATTTTATTTTATTTTGTACACAAATTTGGGTATTTGAATCAATGAGCAAGGCCGTTTGTGTATCATTTTCTTTTTCGTTTTCTACGACATCGCAACATATCTTTTAAAAGCATTTTGCCAAAAAAAAAAAAAAAGAAGCATGATTACGATGTTCTAATGATAGCTATCACGGTATTTTTTAATTGTAAACAAAGAGTCAAAAATACGAAAAGGAAGAACGAAAACAAAATTATATACGTCATATTATGTCCATTAAACTCAACGAGATTAAACATATAATAACTTGGGAATTTTTTTATCACTTCTCTGTTTCCTAATCTTATTTGAACGTATTTAATTTATCATATGTCAAATATAACTTCACTGTTCAATGATAATATTTACTAGATTCGATCTTGGATTGTTTTCAAGGCAAATATTTATAATTAATTCTCAACATTTTTCTAGTAAACATATACCCGTACACCT